ACAACTACCATCAATTAGGACATGCCATGACACTACCTACCCAACTGTAAGTCCAGGCCTTTACCGAAGAGTTCTATATTAGTTATTCGTGTCGAGTCACGACTTGCCGCCACCTTTGAAATGAAAATCTTCGCTTGTAAATAAGCATTATACTTGCTAGTTCTTTTCATATATGCTTTGGGTGCAACAGAAACAGCTTGCTCAGCATAGTGGTAAGCTACTTGATATTGATCTTTAGATGACATCAGATGGTGTCCTGTGTCCTGTCTAGCAGCTTTGAAGTTTCTACCAGCCGCTGGCGACCATACAGGCTTGGCATAATTTACAACGCTTGTAGTGCCACCGACCGAATGCTTAAGTTCAGCTTAATCTCCTTCGTCCTTACCACCTGGAATGTCGAAGCTGACTTCGTAGGTTAGATTACGCATAGTAGAGAAGCTAGAAAGGTCTGAGAAATAACCATTCGCTATGAAACACAAGTCATCAGTGTCCCAGTGCCCGACCCAAGCTGTATTGAACAGTGACTGGAGTATATAGTAGCTATAGGAACAGCGGAATCTATGCTAATGCACAAAAAAGAATTCAGCGAAATATTTGTGTCAATAATTAAAAGAACGGCTACATTTTCCAATTGTGACTTAAATCTTAATGCCACTCTTTATTCCTTTCTGCTACAAGTTGTGTTTATAATAGCTTCTTGAAGCTTGCGTATATGTCTTATGTATCGTATCAATAGATATACTATAGTTTTTGAGTCTACATACATATCGCAAACGTTCTTCAAAAGTATAGTTTATATTAATTCAATATTTACTTTCTATCAAAAGCAGAAACAGTTTTAGTGCAATTTGTTGCAAAAAACGACTGTAGTCTCTCTTGCTCGTTCCACTAACGATTAATTAATAAACTGTATAATCTATAAAAAATCTATAACTTAATACATTTTGGAAAACGTTGGCAATACGTCCCCATACATATATGTATGTATATATGCATGTATGTATGTAGTTTTTTTTTTGTGTATGCTAAAATGTATATTTTTTGTAACATTTGCTTTTATTGAACTATATTTTTTATAATTAAATACTTAAATGGTAAGATGTGGGTTGGCACCCAAAGCACTCGAATATTTTTCACCAAACATTTTATTTAACTTTTAGTGAAAAAAAAACGTCAACAATAAACTATATTAACGGTATAATTGTTATTGTTATTTTTACTTTTTGAATTAGGCGTCTAAATACATAGATACATATATAAACATTTAGGCTCACTCGATTCTTAGGCATCGTTGCGAATCATTTTCAGTTAAACACTACAATATTATATATATACACAAAAATATAAGTCAACTCACAATACAATAGTTATTACTCTAAAAAATATTTGGCTAAATAGTTTTATATGTATATGTTTGTAAGTGTAATTGAAAATTTGAAAAAATATATCCTTGTATATATGTATATATATGTAAAGCACCAGCGCTAGCACTATTCATTTACAGAAAACATATGTAGGCGAATTTGCTATCTAAAAAATAAAAGGTATAAAAAGTATTTTGACAATTCCGCTGAACATTATTTGCGCTTCGCGCGCTCTTCTAAAGTTGGCTATGGGATTGTGAACCTTCGTTTTGCGACGTTTTTGCCTGCTTTGCTGCGAAGACTTCTTTACCCATACACAGCCTAACTCCTATTTACCAATTTCAAGTAGACATCCCACACGACCGCCGTCAGTCGGCAGGTGAACAGGCCCCAAAGGTTGCTCTCATTTGTGTACAGTGAATACTAACGGTGCGGATTCATCCTCCTGCAAGTGCTCAGCGAGTATAATCTTGTTTACCGTGCGCGTCGGCACTTGGCTCTCGATATCCTCGTAGTCCACCGAGGAAGAGCGCACTAATTTGAATTGTGATCCCTTATTGTCGTTCTTTGTGATGACCAGCGAGGCAGGACGTGGACCTGACACCGAAAGTATAAAATATAAAGTTAAATATTCGTATGAAAACTTTTTTTTTTTTTACAAAATGTTCTCATTACAAACCTGCTGTCGTTTTACTAGGCCGACGCTCCAGCGTCGTCGAACCGCTTGATGGCAACGTTGAGGCAGACGATGACAACGACGAGGCTTTCTCTGAGATGTACTCTAGATTTGAAGTCATTTGCAACTTATTGCCGCTGCTCTTCTGGCTGCCCTGTTTGATGCTGACTCGCTTATCAGTTTTCACGCTGTTCTGGTGTTTCAGTATGGAGTCGCGTCGTTGTGCGATTGGCGACGCTGACGGCATTGTGGCGTTATTAGGCATCTGCAGTTCAGAATCTATGAATATAATTAAAGGTAGGCATGCATACGTACAGTAGATAAATTAAGTATGTGTCCAAGTAGGCATTCTTAAAACTAAAATTTGCAAATCATTTCTAACACATAGAATGTTTTTGAAAATAAAGTTTTAGATATGAAAGGTTTCAGAAGCATAATCAGAGTTGATGCCTAACGGAGACCATTCGAAAAACTTGAGAAATGCCAAATTCTACGGCGATTTTAACATAATAAGTTTAAGAGCCATTCATTTTAAAAGTAATCTTAATTCTAAGAACCAACAACAAGTGTTATTTACAAACACAGTGTGTACATTTAACTCAACACTAAACATGGACGAAATTTCCCAAAACAACTTTCGATTTTATTTTTGGTTGTCGGTGCCTCCGCATTGTGCTACCTCTGTATAATTTTTGATTCTAAATGGTTCGTAATTTTCCAACGTTTCCATTCGCTTTAACTACTACGTCCGATTTCGTCTTGGTTCTTTTAAATTTTGTTTACCAAAACGCAAGTGAATTCGCCTTATAAAATGGCTGCGTTTGTTCGAGTTAAATTCGGTTTATCGATAATTTAGATAACAATTAAAGCTGCTTTCCGCTGGTCAAGGGAAATGCCTCTATGGACTAAAAAAAATTAAATAATTTTTTTTTTCATTTAGTACCCAAAATCGATACTACTAAAATCAATGATATCACATATAAATTTTGGTCCCGATTATAGTCGCTTAAAACCGCTTCATAGGGTAATCTGAACTTTGACACCTGTACGACACGCCTTAACCGACTTCAATCGGGGCCAATATTTATATGTGATATCTTCGACTATAGTAGCATCGAGGTAGGGGTTAAGGCTTAGGAAATCGAATGTAAAAATACCCTACCATACATACAGTGGCCAAAATATAAACTGGAACGCGGCATTTTTGCATGTTTTGGAAAAAAGCGTAACACCGTGAACAAAAAAATTAATTATCGAAAATCAACGGTACGGTACCGCTTAGCTACTTCAACTTACACTTCAGTTACATCACCCACATTTTTATTTACAGATGGATTACATTAAAACTACAATAAAATACCCAAAACGTAAAACTATCTCTTAAGAGAAGATTCAATACAAAACACAAAAATCCCACACCCATACATACATACATACATACCCAATAAACGTTGGGCTTGGTTAACAATTCGAATATGATTGGAAAGCAAACCATCGTTGTCCAATGTATTTTCGATAAGAATTCAAAATCCAGCCCATTATCGAATTGAATAATTAATGAGAGAGAGAGTGATTTTCTAATATTTCCCATCGAGAATGAGCTGGATTTCACTTTCCCTCTTGTTGTTATGGTTTTCATTTGTTTTTTTTTCGAACCCATCTCGAGTGTATTTCCAATATACTATGAACGTTGGAAAACTAAGGTTGGTTATGGTTGGTTCGCTTTTAATTCGATATGCATATTGGATATCGACGGTCATTTTCGAACGTTCACCAAAATGTTTATAGGGTATGTACATACATACATACATACATACGTACATACATATAGATAAAATGCAAAGCTGTAACAAAGAGAACATGCATGCAACTGTCCTGGGAGAAGTAATAGCAAAAAGTATGGACATAAATTGGTGCAAATGCCGCTATGACAATAACAATATCTACATAGATACATCGTCACTAGACACGAATAAAGGCCGCGAGCTTCAGTCAGCCGTCAACTGGGCTAACGCCTTTTTTTAAAGTCAATGCGTCCTTTTTCGCCGTCAAAACAATGGTGCGCCTTTATTCGTGTCTAGCGA